CAGTACTTACCTCGATGAGGCTGATCCTCGGACTGCGTGGCCTCCACCTTGGCCGGCTGGGCGGGCGTGTGAATCTGCTGGACCATGACCGGGCTGGAGGAGGAGCGGAAGATGACGTGCACTGGCTGGTAGGTCGCCTCCACGTCGACGATGTGTGGCTCCACCGGCTCCTGGGGAATGCTCACNGGCTCCTGGGGAATGCTCACTGGCTTCACCTCGACGGTGCGCTTCGTCTGAATGGCCGCCGGCACACTGGCCCCTCCGGCCGACTGGTACGAGGGACCGGACTGCGCAAAGTCAGACATGCCGAACATGCTGCCCAGGTCCAGCGAGGAGCCGCCATCAGAACTGCCGCCGACGTTTCCGGCACTGCCTCCGCCGGAGCTGAGGTAAATGGATTCGCCGCCGCCGCTGCCACCGCCGCCACCAGCCCCGCCTGAAGAGGAGCCGTACTTGGAGGCGGTCACAATGTGAACTAGCAGAAGACTGCCAAAGACGAGACGGGACATCATCTGTTGAGAGAGGAAGAGAAAGGGGGTGAATGAGGTGAGTGGAGTTGTTGGTGGTGGTGATGGTTTTTGGGTGTCAGGAACCAAAGGCACCGGTACCAATCGTCTACGTCCACTTACTTGGACCATCGTGGATGAAGTGGTTGTGGATGGAGTGAGTTGAGTTGAAGTGAATGAATGAATGGATTATCGGTGTTTGTCAGTTGTGAGTTGTGATTACTGCCACTGAGGTGAGCGACTGTCTGTGTGCCTTTAACCCGGTGCTCGAGTGGACCTTTTATAGAGTGCTGCCACACGGAGACACACCGAGACTCACACCGGCACCTTATGGCACTGTGGAGATGGCACCTGGAGCGAATTGAGAGAGAGAGAAAGGAGAAAGGGGAAAGGAGAAAGGAAAGAGAGTAAGAGTAAAAGTGAAAGAAAGAGAGCAGGGAAAGATGAAAGAAGATGACCAGAGAGCGAAGGAGGGCTCACAGTCATCTTGGACAACTCGGTGTCGCAGTGCTGCTGATGGCACCGAGTTGCAACGACTCACTTTACTTTTCACTCTCTCTCTCTCTCTCTCTCCTCCTGTCCGACTCTATCCGAACATTGATCTCGATAAGCACCGCTCTCACTT